AGTGGGATTCACAGATGCAGACTGGGCAGAAAACATTGCTGACCATAAGTCCACTAGTGGCTATGTATTTTTCTATGGGGGTGGAACAGTGAGCTGGAGAAGTCACAAGCAAAGCACAAAAGCACAGTGCTCTGCTGAAGCAGAGTATGTGGCAGCAACAGATTCATGTAATGAGACTGTGTGGCTTAGATTATTGCTTGCAGACATGGGTATAGACGAACCAACTCCTATACAAATCTTTGAAGACAATCAGAGTTGGATCAGACTTTCACAGTCAGAGAAAGTAGGTGGGAGGACTAAGCACACTGATGTAAAGTATCATGTGGTGAGAGAGTTGCAACAAGGGTTAATCAGACTAGACTACTGTCCCACAGGAAACATGACAGCGGACATCTTCACAAAGCCATTGTTGAGAACCAGTTACCAGGAACTAAGAGAAAAATTAAATATTGTAGGACATGGAGACATGCAAGGTTGAAAAGAAGGGGTGTTGGAAAATACGGGGTTTCAACCAAGCCTGTCTCACACGAGCACAAAGAGAGGGGTGGCCTCACTGCGGCCTAGCTTTGCTGCTTTGTGTGGGAGGGGCTTGGAGCCCACCTCTCTTCTTGTTTCCCTCATTTTCCTCTCTTCTCCTCATGGCTCTCCATGAGATAGGAATGAATCCTCTCTCCTCCTCATGGTTTTTGTACTAACATTTCACAACCCCAACATTGTATTCTGTGTTCTGTGTCATGGATAAGTATTGTTATGTACACATTAGTTGTGACCTTGCTTTAAAAATGCTATTAGAAGTGCATCTTAATTTCCTGAGATGGGTAATATTGAAAAGTTAGTATTTGAAACATATATGCCAAATAATAAATAGGTAGTCCTTGTTTAGCAACCACAAGTGGGACCGGTGACTCGGTAATTAAGCAAAATGGCCACTAAGTGAAAAATCACGTGACCACAGTTTGAAGTTATTTTCCTTCAGCTTTCCTTTGCTTTACAGCATCAGAAGGATATGACCCCAAATAGTCGGGTGAGCCCAAATGGTGGGGGAGGATTCTGGAATTCGACTCATGAGGAAGCCAGGTAAAAGGGCAAATCTTACAGCCCCTTTTCCCCACTCCCCTACCCTTGGGGAGTGCTGGGATAATTAGCAAGAAGGGAATTAATGTTTGCATGTACATTCATTGGAGAGGAAGGGATTACAGAGAGTAGGAAGACACACAATGAGGAATACACCTAGAATATGCCTAGCAAGCTGCTTAGGAGGCAAACAAAAGCCTTTAGTGGGTCTTGTCAATTTCTCATTAACTTAAGTTTTTAGGGAGTGCTGTGCTCTGCTGCAGAAAAGAGCAATTCAGGAAGAGAAAACTTGTTTAAACAATCTTTCCGCTTCTCCAGGGGAATAAAAAGAAAAAAAAATGGGTCAGGCATAGGCAACGTGTACTAACACTTCAGTGGTGAACATGTGACTTGAGAGGCACTGCAAAGGTCATAAATGCAGGCGTTGGTGGAAAAGTTACTTTTTCATCACTGTTTAACTGCAAATAACTGCAAACTGTCCGAGGCAGTCATTAAACTGTCCAAGGAATACCTGTAGTTTATTGGTTCAGACTTAATGTGGAAGCCAGACCTTGGGTTCTGAGTCTATTCAAGTAAAGTACAATAACAGAATAAAAAATATTAGTTTAGCTCCGAATGGAAAAGCAGATGGGTTTAAGTGTGAGTCAGGCAGATTGATGAATGGGTAAAGCAAATTTAAAAATATGTCAAAATAGACCACAAAAGCTAGATATTGGAAAATGTGATGAAGGGAACAACACTGTTCTAGAACCTTATGGAAGATTCCAGGTAACCTTGAAAAAGGACCAATCAAGACTCCAGGGACATCAGGGGTTTTGGAAGGGGATCAATTAGAAGATGAAATGGCCTAGTTAACTGTGATTTCTGAGAGTATAAAAAGGACCTTTGTGGGTTAAGTCCAGAAGGTCATCTTCATTGCTTGGTGTCAGTATAACGGCTGATACATTTTCTCAGCATTTTCCCTAATAATATACTTCTTTCTAATGAACTGAACTTGGGTGTAAACCAAGGTTTGATTCAGGGGTAAAGGATATATTGGTAGGATATTATCTGCAACAGTAAAAATAAAAGAAGCCCTCAAATTGAATTTCATTCCTAGTGACTATGTGCAGAAAAATGGTTTGTCATTGTCTTCTTCTGAAATGCTTGTTTGACTTTCGAGTCTAGTTTACAGCCTTGGAATTGCTTGGTAGCCTTTTATCCTAAGCTGCTTAGTTTCTAGGCCCAGATAAGATACTCAGTCTTAATAAAGATTAATATAATAAATTATGGGAGGGGGGGTTCTCTATAGTTCTGACCATGTACGGTGAAAACTTGCATCAGGTTTTAGGAACCATAATTCTTGTGTTTCTTTTTTTTCAGAAAACATTGTTGTGTGATACTAACAACACTGAAGAGTCAACAAGGTTCAGTAAAATCTGGTCTTAGAAAAAGTAAGTATTAAATTGCTATTCAAATATAATGACTATTCGTCTCTATGGCTCATAGTACCTACATACATTTACAGGTAGACCTCGACTTGTGACAGCAATTGGGGCTGGAATTTCTGTCGCTAAGCGATGTGGCCGTAAAGTGTGACTGCATCGCTTAGTGATGGCAGTCCCTGCAATCCCAGTTGCCATTGTCAACTGAATCTCACAGTCAGTGGGGAAGCCAGCAGGAAGTTGTAAGTCCCAGGCCGGCAGGCAGGTAAGTGGCTGCTGCTGGGTGGGGGAGGGAGTGACGGGTATGTGGCAGTGTGGGAGAAGGTTGGGGATGATGTGTGGGGTGCACGAGTGGCTGGTGTGATATGAGTGCAGAGAGGCTGGGGGAGGGTACACAGGTGGGGGAGACTTACCCCAGCGACTTGCAGTCTTCCCTGCCAGCTTCCCCTTTGACTTTCTGGGGAAGCTGGCTTGGAAGGTTGAAAATAGTGATTGTGTGATTGCAGGGTGCTTGGCAACTGGTTGTAAGTGCAAATGGGTTGCTAAGCATCCAGATCCTGATCACGTGACCGCGGGGGTGCTGGGATGGCCGCAGCCTCGAGGACCAGTCATAAGTCTCCTTTCAGCATTGTCGTAACTTTGTATAGTTTCTTCAGTGGCCTACTGATGAATCCTGATAAATGAATGGACAGCCTGATTTGGCAGTTTATGACTTCCTTTACTTTACTGAAGCACTACAGAATAAAACATGAGAAGCATGTCTATTGGTAAAACCAATAGAGCTCATACAGAGCTCATTAAGAGCTCATGACACTCCTTTACCTTAGTTTATAAAATCTTGGAACTTGCTTTAGTTTCCATGCCTATTTCCCTTAACCTTTTGTAAGCACTGTAGTTTCTTTCATTTCTTGATTTCAGCGATAAGAATAGCAAATTATAGCTATCACAGCACCCCATAGTTTCATGTTCAGCACACTCTAATTAGACGCATGTTATATCATAGCACTTGAATCACTTGAGCAAGCTAGTTGACATGGCTTCACTTTGGCATAATTATATATGTGAAGAGAAAGCTTTCATGTCATGTGACGTCTGGCCTGAGGTCAGTTGTGATACATCACTAAAGAAAAAGTTGCACATAGTTCCTTATCCTTGTAGGATAACATATGAAAAGTAATCCACAAGGGAGGAGTTACCAGCTCAGGCAAGTTTAAATACAGTGGTACCTCGGGATATGAACTTAATCCGTTCCGTGACTCTGGACGTATCCCGAGTTGGTCACAACCCGAGGCAATTTTCTCTTCAGAGCCTTACTCCCACCAAGCCTGCTCTGCATTTTCT